GAGCAAAAATCTTAAATATACAACATAATGAATTTTTATAGGTGTATCCACTTGTGTTACCATTACCCAGGTCAAGATAGATCATTCCCAGCACCTCAGAAGCATGCTTCCCATTCATCACCTTCCCCTAGGGTTACCACTTTTCCATCCTCTATCACCATAGATGAGTCCTGTCTATTTTTGAACTTCATGTAAATAGAATCATATAGTGTATACTCTTTTTTTTTTTTTTTTTTTTTACTTATTTCTAGGAGAGAGAGAGAGCGTGAGCAGGGGAGGGTCAGAGAGAGAGGGAGTCACAGACTGAAACAGGCTCCAGGCTCTGAGCCGGCAGTCAGCACAGAGCCCGACGCGGGGCTCGAACCCACGAACCGCGAGATCATGACCCAAGCGAAAGTCGGACGCTTAACCGACTAAGCCACCCAGGCGCCCCATATAGTGTATACTCTTGTACTGGCTTGTTTCACTCGATGTTATACATGAGGTTCATCCATGCTGTTGTATCAGAGGTTTGCTCTTTTCCATTGCTGTGTACTGTTCTATGGCATGCAGCTACTACATTTTATTTGCCCATTGTACTGTACGTGTACATTTAGGTTGTTTCCAATTTTTGTATTACTGTAAATGAAGTTGCTCTGCACATTCTTGTGCATGTCCTTGGTGCACATGAGCACTCATTTCAGTTAAGTGTGTACCTAGGAGGGATTCTCTGGATCATAGAGCAGATGTACATTTACTCTGTAAGAAACTGCCAAACAGTACTCCAAAATGGTTGTGCCCCTGCCAATTGGCTCAGAATCTCTGAGTGAGACCCTACCTGAATGATAGGTATCACTTGGTGGTTCTGACGCACAGTAAAAATGACAGCCTCTGTGACCCAGCCTTAATGCCCAGGCCTGTATCTCTGTTATCACCTCAGCTCCAAAGGAACAATTCATTTATTGTCCAAAAGCAAGGAAGTTATTCCTTGTCCACAGATCTGAGAAGGAGCTGAGATTTGTCTTCTGGGGTTTGCCTCTTACCTCTTGTTTGCTTTTGTTATACTTGGTGGGGATCAAATTAATCATCTTTCTCCTCCCTGAATCCTTGAACACAGGAATGGGGGGCTTTGTCCTATGCAAATGGGATTTTATGTATCAGGAAATATGAAGTGTGAGGACGAGGCAAAGAGCTCTTTCAGGGCTCTTGATAGCATCTGACCACATGGGCAACCACAATCTTCTCACACTGTAGAAATTCATCTCTTTTAGCATTTCTCTACCTAGTTAGGCTGAGGGACTGTCATTCTTTCTATCTGTCAGTGCTTTGAATTGACTTCGCTCAAAAATTTTATAAGCAACATGGCCCATTTAGTTATAGTTCATCTGAATTAATAAGAACAGCTAATATTTAGTCGGTACTATGGGCAAGGCACCCTGCTATATGCATGCATTCTCTTAAAACAAGCCAACAAGCTTCAGCAGCTACTATGAAGCTCATTTTACAGATGAGGAAACAGGTTTAGAGAGCTGAAGTAGCTTTCCCAAGTTCATGTGCGGATATATTATGGAGCTAGGATTCAAACCCTTGCATTCTGGCTTCAGAAATGGAACTCTTAATCACTAATTACACCACCTCTACTTAACCAATCTGAGCTTTTGAGAGCTATTTATGGCCTGGAATATGAAAAACAAGTTTTTCATACCTCTCCGAGTTACAGGTCTCCTGGAAAGAAAATGCCAAATAATGGTGGTCACTTGAATAATGGAATAGGATGGAATGGCTGAAGGGTCAAACTTGGCCTTTATATCTCCTTAAAAGAGTTGCCAGTCTGTCAGATGATATTTTCAGGAGAGAAGGAGAAAGCAAAAAGGAGCAGAAAAAGCAATAGGAAAGTTATACAACTTTCCTTCTCATTCTTCACTTTGTGTAGATGATCTTACCCACAACTGGAACTAAAACTCTAAATGGGAATGAATGCAGAATTTTTACCCAGAATAATTCTAAGCCACTCCAACTGCTTATTTGATCCCTTTACTTGGATGTCTTATGGGAACCTCAAATGTAACATTGTCCAAAAACGGAATTTTTTACTTCCTCTGTTCTCCCCCACAATCTGTTCCTCTTTCAGTAAATGTCACTTCCACCCACCATTACTATGCCCCAAAGCAGAGTAGCCTTGCCATTCCCCTTTGTCTTCTCCCACCTTATGCCATCATAAGTCCTGTTGGTTCTGGCTCCAAAATATATCCTACCTGCCTGTGCTTGAGTCCTGACTATCCCATTGGGGACAAGTCTCTTAAGCTCTCTGTCCTCAGTTTTCTCTTCTATAACATGGCGCTAATAGTTGTAAGGCAAGCTAGCAACTATGATTATTATTCTCGAGACTACACACTAGTTTAAGTCACAATTCTTTCTTCCCTGGATTTCTGTAAGCACCTTCTAACTGGTCTCCCCACAACCATTGGTGTCCCTTGGACCCATCATCTAAAACAGTGGTTCTCAACTACAGCAGTTCTGCCCCCCAGGACACTTAGACATGTTCAAGACATTTTTGTTTGTCACAGTAGGGGAGGTGGTTGCTAACCCCCTGGCATCTAGTGGGTAGAGGCCAGGAATGTTGCTAAACATCCTAGAGTGCACAGGACACAACAAAGAATTATCTTGACCCATGTGGAGAATCCCTTTTCTAAAGTGAACTTTGTGAAACACAAATCAAGTCAGGCCGTGCCTCTGCTCCTGTCTATCCGATAGCCCCCCACAGCTCTTGAACAAAGCCCATACACTTGGCTGTGCTCTCAGATCCTGTGATCTGGCTTTAGCCTACTACCCCAGCCTCATCTCCCACCACTCTTACCCATTTACCCTGGTCCAGCCACCTCAGGGTTCCTCTAGTTCCCAAGTGGACTGAGGGCCTTACTGCTTTAAAATCCTCAAAAAGGCTCCTCCTGCTGCCAGGGCCACTGTTTGCCCTCTGTGTGGATCCCTACCCTGCCCTCTTCTGACTTCCCTGAGAATTGGTGGAAGACAGCCCTTGAGATGGAACAATCAATTGCACTTGCTACCAGGTAGTGACCAGCATCCTCTATTTGTTCCTCTTTCCCTGCCTTAAGCACCATCGTATACATTTAGTGGCTCTTCTCTTCTGTAGCCTTTAATTTGAAGTGATTATGGAAGGTTCCTATAAGGATAGGAAGGTGAGGCAGAGGTCTACACTTCGCTGAAAGGCCCTGCCTAGAGATGGTAAATAGGGAACCTGGCAGATAAATCAGTTCTTCAGACTAGTCTCAGAGTATTATGAAAAAATTAAATTAGCCACCAATATTTGAAGATCTGGAAAATTGCCATGGACATTGGAATTCCATTTATCTCTTTCATAGGAAAATCTGGGAGTACATGGTTACTTCCTCATGAGCCAATAGTCACCAAGTTCTGATTCTGGTTTCCCTTTAGATGGGGCTTCAACAGTCCCCACCTGGCTTCCTTTATGCAAGTACCTTACCTGCCCACCCTTAGCTAGCCATCCTGTGTCTACACCCCTGTGTCAGTCTAGAGCCCTCTAGTGCTAGAGGATTTTGTCTCTCTGGGACTGCCAGCCCATGCCACTGAGCCCTTGCTACCTACACTTAGGAGGAATATAAACAGACCATAGCCAGAGCTATGAACACAGAGTGTTCTGTGTCTCCCTGGGTTAATTTCTGGGACCCCATTAGAAAGACAGTCTGTGCTTTCGTTTCTACTTGAAGTCACCATGAGGCTAACTTGGCTGGTAAGCACGTTCATTCTGCCCCCTCAGCCTAGATGTGGGTACTTGCACAGGGGAGCTTGGCACTTGTTTTCAGAGCTGCCTGGGTCTCATGAAGACATTTTGTTGTGATTGCAAATTACAGTGTCATAGTCAGTTTGTAGACAGCTATAACAGAATACCGTAGACTTGGTGGCTTAGGCAAAAACATTGATTTCCCACATCTCTGGATGTGGAAGTGAGAGATCAGCATGCCAGCATGTCCGGTTCTTGGTGAAGGAAACTTTCCTGGTTTACAGAGCCTTCTTGTTTGCTCACATGGTGGAGAGAGAAAGAGCGCTGGGAGCAAGCTCTTGTCTCTTCATCTCCTTATAAAGGCATCAATCTCATCATGGAGGCTCCCCCCTCATAACACCATCTAGACCTAATTTCTTTCCAAAGGTCCTACCTCCAAATACTATCACATTGGAGGTTAGGGTTTCAACATATGAATTTCAGGGATGCACATTCAGTCTATAGGACATGGCATCAAGATTTTTAGCAAATATTAGTGGTTACCAGCTATGCATCCCTAAATTGATTCCAAGGGTCAAATTCCTTTAGCTTCTCTGGCTTCTAGCTTCTTGACCTCCAAAACAACTCTAATACTGCATTCTGCTTGGTGGTACCTCCCCTGCTATCCAAGCAGTCAGAAGATGAACCTATGTGTCCTGGATCACCTCAAATCCACCTCCTGCTCTGGAAGATTGATGTGGCTGAGACCCTACAGTTGCATAGCTTGAGCAGATGTGGGGCTCTTCCCACGGTGCTCTCAATTCCAGGCTGGATGTCCACAGGATCCCATGGCTCAATTCATGTTGGTCATCTTGATTCTGCCCTGAGCTTACCAGAGTTCATAGCTTCTCTGCCAGTTTTTTTTTTTTTAAGTTTACTTATTTATTTTTGAGAGGGGGAGAGAGAGGCAGAGAGAGAGAGGGAGGAGAGAATCCCAAGCAGGTTCCACACAGAAAGCACAGAGCCTGATGAGGGGCTTGATCTCATGAAACGTGAGATATCGTGACCTGAGCCAAAATCAAAAGTCAAATGCTTAACCGACTGAACCACCCCGGTGCTCCTGTTTTGTTTTGTTTTTAAATCCATTATGAGCTGGTTAGCATATAGATTTAATCCATCTTTGGGGCTCTCCTAGAGGAAGATTTTCAACTGCCTCCTGAACTTCCCATTATCTCAGCAGCTACTAGCTGACTTTCTCTCCCCACCCACCACCCCTGCTTACTCTCCCCTCATGTTTCTCCCTCCACCTTCCGAGTTCTCCAACAAGGAACAGGCTTTCTGAGTCTTCCCGCTGCTTGTAGCTTCCCTAGGAATTCCTTTGAGTAAAATTTTCTTCATCTCCTCCATTGTTCTGAAAGACAGATAGTGTGGAAGGTGACATTACCTTTCAGCACATGTATCAAGTCTTTCTGAAAATCACTGACTTGCATCAAACTACAGATTTCACCAGTTCCAAAGCATACATTTTCCTCCCACATTTTAACATCTGTGAGATTGAGGTGTGTATTATGTCTGCTAGTGGGTCATGATTTAATTGTCAGTGTGGTTTTCTTTCTTGGTGGTATAATAGTTGTGTGTCTTAGAGTTAATGACATCTTAGATTTGCTGAACTATACTAATATGGGCATCTTGCTTAGGAAATGTTTTCTTGAGACAGAAACAAGAGGGCAGATGGCTGAAGGCTGTGTAGGGATGAACTGTGGGAAAGAGCTAGAGGTGCAGAGACAGGCAATAATATTCTCAAGGCACCTGGGTGAGAAGAGAATGGCCTGTCCAACAAACCAAAAGTGTTTAAGGAGGCAGGAGTGTGGGGAGCAGAGAAGATAATGAGCCACTTTAAGTGGATGTGAGGATTGCACAGAAATATTTATGGAAAGTGCTTAGGACTTAAACACACTCTATAAATGGTACTTTGCTTTGGTTTGTTTTCTGGACAAATGAATGAGGGAATTTATGATATTTTATCAGTTCTCTGGCATTCTCCCCCCGCCACACACACACATTTTAACACCTCCAAAATTGGGATGCATTTTACAGCAGGGTGTTTCATTATTTAATTGGTGACATTTCCCCCCATAAATGGTATCTTAGAGTTGATGAAGCATGGTATATTAAATCAATTGCTAAAACTGACACACTCTCCCTTTGTTCCTAACTTCTTAACCTGAATTCCTGTTCTCCTACAAATTCTGACCTGTATACTTGGAACATTTTAAACTGCTTTTCCTAATCCAGGCTTACATTATTGGTCTCATGGCCTGATCCCTTTGTGCCTCAACCCTTGATGTCCCTGAGCTCCTATGGGTCTGACCTGAATGTTAGTTTGGGCTTCTCTACATCTGTGTGAAAAGGAACAGATGAGCATTGAAGGAATGAAAGTTCATACAAGTATTCATGTATAGTTTCTTCTTCAAATTCCAGGCTTTAAAAATTCATCCATTCAGCTAGTATTTATTTGAGTATCTGTTATCTGCTAGGTCAGGGTTTGGCAATCTATGGTCTACAAGCCAAATCAGGACCAATGCCTGTTTTTGTAAATACAATTTTATTGGAACACAATTATGCCCACTTATTTACGAATGGTCTATAGCTACTTTTGAGCTACAAACAGTAGAGTTGAGTAGTTGCAACAGATGGTGTGGCTTGCAAAGCCAAAAATATTTACTATCCTGGCTCTTTATAGCACCAGTCTATCCTCCTGGGGAATCAAGAAGGGCCACATCTTAAGTGAACAGTCATAGAAAAGACAGTTCCAAAAGGAAAATGTTATATTTTATATGGAAAAGCACACATCTAACCCAGGAGAACACGAGCCTTGTAAATTTTGTCTTCATAGAATTCCCACTGACTAGAATAGTGCATGGCACAAAGTAAGTGCTTGCAGCAGATAAAGATGCCTTCTTTCTTTGCGACTCCTCCCACTGAGAGATGGAATCTGTTTCTCCTCCCCTTGTTTCGGGACTAGACTAGTGAATTTCTTAATTAATAGCTTATGGCAGACGTGCTCTTCTGGAACTCTGAGGCTAGGACATAATACACCTTGCAGCTTACCAAGCCTCTTAGAATGCTCACCGTGAGGGAAACCAGCCACTTGATAAGGATTCTGACCCCATCATGCTGGAAGACCAGGTACAGGCACTCTACTCTACAGTCTTAACTGAGGCTAGCCTTGCAGCCATCACCTACAGACATGTGAAAGAAACCATCCTGAACCCTCCAGGTGTGCCCATCCACCAGCTGAATACCACTGAGGAATCCCAGTTAATAGCATGGGGATCAGAAGAATCGTTCAGTGGAGCCCTGCCCAAATTCCTGACTCATAAAATCATGAGATATAACAAAATGATGTTCCCTTAAGCCACTAATTTGGGGGTACTTTGTACCTAAGAAGTAGATAGCCAGAACAATGCTCAATAAATAAATACTGGTGGCTTTGTTTGTTTACATAGCCAGGCAAGTATAGAGTCAGTACCAGAGCCCAAGTCTGTTGATTCACAGTGTTTATGACAGTTTTATTTTATTGATAGTTGCCCAATGTTAGCAGGGCAATCTGATTCTTCTCACACCTCTTCCAATCTCTCCCCAAATCTGAGTCAATTAGAGACCAAATAACATGTTAGGAGCTTTGTGAAAGGTGATACCTAAAGTCTGTCAAGTGTTTCTGGACCAGATGCTGAGGGGCATGTTGGCACTGGAGTGCATTTCACAACATACAGGGGCCTAGGGTGCACCTTCAAGTTTTGAGGAGCCCCTCAGAAGGTTTTAGTAGTTATGCAGAATCTCAGATATAGTACATTTATATCTGAGGAGGCCAAAAACAATAATGACGTTCAGTTTCTCCAGTAAGACTGGAGATTGAGGTTTCAACCTCAGATCTCATGCTTACTAGTTAGGAGGCCTTGGGCGAGTTATTAAATTGTTTTACCTCACTTACCTCATTTGTAAAATGATGATAATATTCGCACACAGGTTGTCGTGAAGATTGAATGAATTAATCCATGCAAAGCAAGTGGAAGATTTGCAGCACTTAGTAAACACTCCTATAAAGAGCATCATTCTTAGTAGTAGTACTAAAGATCCGACTTTCATTAAAGTCTCAAACTTTGACCTAGAAAAATTTTTTTAACTCATGACAGATCTAATTGTCCTGTGGGGACTAATATATTGGCATGTGTTTTTATTTATGGATTTGTTGGAATAATTCATGTTTAGTCACCTACCTTTGGTGTGTTGTTCCATTGTGCATTTATCATTTCTTTATGTTCTTGACACGCTGAATATCTATTTTTTTATTTTTTCTTAATATTTTATTTATTTCTGAGAGAGAGAGAGAGAGAGAGAGAGAGGGAGAGACAGCGTGAGCAGGGGAGGGTCAGAGAGAGAGGGAGATACAGAATCTGAAACAGGCTCCAGGCTCTGAGCTAGCTGTCAGCACAGAGCCTGACACGGAGCTCGAACCCACAAACTATGAGATCATGACCTGAGCCGAAGCCAGACGCTTAACCAACTGAGCCACCCAGGTGCCCCTGAATATCTATACTTTATCACCTCATTAAAGGCATTGGAATCTGTACCATAATTTTTTTTAAACTACATTTTTGGCTTTCCAGTTTACTCAGCTATTAGGCATACTTTGCAAACTCTGAAGAGCAGACATGTCTGAAATATATTCTCCATCTATCCCCAAGTTTTCTGGATCTATCTGTTTTGTACCCTAAGTGGCTCAGTGGAAAAGGGAGATATTCTTTTTTTTTTTTTAATTATTTTTAATGTTACTTTTTTTTTTTTTTTTTTTGAGAGACAGAGAAAGATGGAGAGTGATCAGGGGAGGGGCAGAGAGGGAGACACAGAATCCAAAGCAGGCTCCAGGCTCTCAGCTGTTAGCACAGAGCCCAAAGCAGGGTTTGAACCCATGAACCATGAGATCATGACCTGAGCTAAAGTCAGATGATTAACCAGTTGAGCCACCCAGGCACCTCAAGAGAGATGTTCTGTCTTCACTGAACCACAATGCAGGATGGAGCTAGATGTAGTGGCTGGGGTTAGTTTAAAGGGAAACTTAGGTCCCAATAGTTCATTTTTGCTTTTGTTTCCCCTGCCTCGGGAGATGTGTTGAGTAAGAAGTTGCTACAGCCAATGTCAAAGAGGCTTTTGCCCGCTTTCTACTCTAATATTTTGATGGCTTCCTGTCATATGTTTAGGTCTTTCATCCATTTTGAGTTTATTTTTGTGTAAAGTATAAGAAAGTGGTCCAGGTTCATTTCTCTGCATATTGCTGTCCAGTTTTCCCAGCACCATTTGCTGAAGAGTCTGTCTTTGTTCCATTGGGTATTCTTTCCTGCTGTGTCAAAGATGAGTTGGCCATATGTTTGTGGTTCCATTTCTGGGTTCTCTGTTCTGTTCCATTGATCTAAGTGTCTGTTTTTCTGCCAGTACCTTACTGTCTTGATGATTACAGCTTTGTAATACATCTTGAAGTCCAGGATTGTGATAATTCTAGGTTTGGTTTTCTTTTCCAGGGTTGCTTTGGCTATTTGGGGTCTTTTCTGGTTCCATACAAATTTTAGGATTATTTATTCTAGCTCTGTGAAGAATGGTGTTGTTATTTTGATAGGGATTGCATTGAATATGTAGATTGCTTTGGGTAGTATCAACATTTTAACAATATTTGTTCTTCCAACATGAGCATGGAGTATTTTTCCTTTTCTTTTTATGTCTTCTTTAATTTCTTTCATAGCTTTCTATAGTTTTCAATGTATAGATTTTTCACCTCTTTGGTTAGGTTTATGCACAGTGAAGGAAACAATCAGCTAAAACTAAAAGGCAACCAATGGAATGGGAGAAGATATTTGCAAATGACATATCAGATAACGGGTTAGTATCCAAAATCTATAAAGAATTTATCAAACTCAACACCCAAAAACCAAGAGAAGAAATGGGCAAAAGACATGAATAGACTTTTCCAAAGAAGGCATCCAGATAGCCAAATGACACATGAAAAAATGCTCAACATCGCTCATCATCAGGGAAATACAAATCAAAACTACAGTGAGATATCACCTCACACTAGTCAGAATGACTAAGATTAACAACTAAGGCAACAACAGATGTTGGCAAGGATGCGGAGAAAGATCTCTTTTGCACTCCTGGTGGGAATGCAAACTGGTGCAGCCACTCTGGAAAACAGTATGGAGGTTCCTCAAAAAGTTAAAAATTGAATTACCCTACAGCAATTGCACTACTAGGTATTTATCCAGAGGATACAAAAATGCTGATTCAAAGGGGCACATGTACTCCAATGTTTATAGCAGTGCTATCGACAATAGCCAAAGTATCGAAAGAGCCCAAATGTCCACTGACAGATGAATGAATAAAGAAGATGTGTATATACATACAATGGAGTATTACTTGGCAACCAAAAAGAATGAAATCTTGCCATTTGCAACAATGTGGATGGAACTAGAAGGTATTATGCTAAGTGGAATTAGTCAAAGAAAGACAAACATGACTTCACTCATATGTGGAATTTAAGATACAAAACAGATGAGCATAAGGGAAGGGAAGCAAAAATACTATAAAAACAAGGAGGGGGATAAAACATAAGAGACTCTTAAATATAGGGAACAAACTGAGGGTTGCTAGAGGGGTTATGGGTGGGGAGATGCGCTAAATGGGCAAGGGGCATTAAGGAGGGCACTTGTTGGGATGAATGCTGGGTGTTATATATAGGGAATGAATCACTGGATTCTACTCTTGAAATCATTATTGCACTATGTGCTAACCAACTTGGATGTGAATTAAAAAATTATAGAATACATATTATATATTATACACATATATATATTATATGTATTATATATATTATTTATATAAAGTTAAAAAATAAAGGGAAACAGGAGTTCTGGCTGTAGTTGAAAAGCTATGTTAGAGCAAGAAGGTACAGTAAGAGATGTTTCTATATGCTGTTTCTTATTCTCAGGCTTCTCACGGGAGATGGCAAGGAATCAAAACTTGTTGAAAGGCTAAAGTAGATATTGGAAAAGGTTTAAAGCCAGAAATCTCTGGTGCTAAGGTCTGCAAATGTTTGAAGGAATATAGGCAGTCATGAAAGTCTATTCCGGGAACCTATGAATTGTTAGCTCAGGAAGGAGACTAGGCACTGGTAAAATAAGGTCAAGGTCTTAGATGTCATTCCTAGGAAGATTAATGAGCTTTGCTCTGGTCCCTGAATTCTGTATTTCTATGAAGCCTGGCCAGGCTTAGTTATTTAACATAGGCTAGTTATTTTGTCCCCATTCACTGAGATCCTGAACACAACGGGGAGTGAATGAGCAGTATGTGAATTAGATGGCTCCATCTTCCCTAGTTGGTTAAGAAAGCATGGTTTAAAAAGTGTAGCTGTGAGGGGCGCCTGGGTGGCTCAGTCAGTTAAGTGTCTGACTTCAGCTCAAGTCATGATCTTGTGGTTCATGGGTTTGAAACCCACATCAGGCTCTGTGCTGACACCTCAGAGCCTGGAAACCTGCTTCAGACTGTGTGTGTGTGTCTCTCTCTCTCTGCCCCTCCCCTGCTTGCACTCTGTCTTTCTTTCTCTCTCTCGCTCTGTCTTTCTCTCTCTCAAAAATAAATTAAAAAAAAAAATGTAGTTGTGAGAGCAGAGGGGCACCTGGGTGGCTCAGTCGTTGAAGTTTCTGACTCTTGATTTCTCCTCAGGTCATGTTCTCATGGTTTGGTTTGTGAGACTGAGCTTGCTTGGGATTCCCTCTCTCCCTCTGTCTCTGCCCCTTCCCAGCTTGCATGTGCTCTCAAAGTAAATAAATAAATATTTTAGAAAAGTAGCTACGAGGGCAGGAGGATTATTTTGACCAGGTCCTGGGAAGGGAGCTAAAGTAGACCAAATATTAGACCTGGGAAACAGCTGAATTGCTTTTCTCAATTGATGGCTCTTTGCAATGGGCTTTCAAAACATGTCATTATGGGGAGGGGGCCAGGCTGTGGGCACAGGGTGATGTGTGAGCATGGAAGGAGCTTTTCTTTCTACCCTAAGAATAAAATTCAACTGCGTGTTATTCCAGCAGGCAGCAGAAGGCTTCCAAGCACTAGACTTTCTAACTCTTTCTGGTGAAATTTGGATTGTTGAGTGTATCACATGCTTTGAGATTCTAAGTGGTTGGAGTGGAGGTGGGAAAGACGAAGGGACAGGAAATTCCATTTCTTTCATAGTGAGCTAACTTGAGGATGCGTCTCAGGGCCAGCTTATCAACAACCACTCTAAATTGACCATGATTTTATCCTTGCCTCTCCTTGTAAAGATTTCTTTTTCAGAGTTTTCAGCCAACAGCTTCCAAACTGTCATTTACAATTTACGGAAGGACAGAAAGTAGAATAGTTGTCAGCAAGCAGCATAATTATGTGCCAGGAAATGACATGGCAAATAGTCTAGCCTGGCAAGTGCTAGACGGCTCTCTCCCTATCTTCTAGCTTCAGGCAGGAGCAGAACTACAATATCTGCTCATTTGTTTGTGACTTATTTTACACTTGGAGTGCAGATTACTAAGGAGTATTTGGTCTGGAGATCAGGTAGAAATTTAGTTTTTAGAAAGCAAGGCAGTGGGGAAACGGGAACTTGGAAAGTATGATCTGATGTTATGTTGTGAAATGCTACTGTGTCATCCTGAAGGAGCAGCTGTGTCATGTGGGCACTTGTTAGAAATGCGATATCTTGGGGCGCCTGGGTGGCTCAGTCAGTTAAGCGTCCCACTTCGGCTCAGGTCATGATCTCACAGTTCGTGGGTTCAAGCCCCACATTGGGCTTTGTGCTGACAGCTCAGAGCTTGGAGCCTGCTTCAGATTCTATGTCTCCCTCTCTCTCTGCTCCTCCTCCGCTCACACTCTATCTCTCTCTCAAAAAATAAATAAACATTAAACATTTTTTAAAAATGTAATTTCTTGTGAGCCATCCAAGGCCTACTTAATTAGAAACCCTGGGCTGGAGCCCAGCAGTCTGAATTTTACTAAGTCTTTCCGGTGATTCTGATGTAGGCTCTAGTTTGAAAATCAGTAGAATGTAATAGATGGCAAGTAAATCCTGCCTTGTTTTACTTGTTTGTCTGTTACAAATAAAATTAGCTGCCCCCCCCAAAAATGCCCCCAAATCTGGAAAACCTAGCAAATAGTGGCTGTATAAGTAAGAAGAATTTTATTATTCTCACAAAACAAGAAATACCAAGGGAGACAGCCCAGGTTGTTACCCAGGGCTCAAGGACGCTGTGTAAGAATC